CGGGGCGCCTGGGTGGCTCAGTCGGTTGAGCGTCCGACTTCAGCTCAGGTCACGATCTCGCGGTCCGTGAGTTCGAGCCCCACTTCGGGCTCTGGGCTGATGGCTCCGAGCCTGGAGTCTGCTTCCGATTCTGTGTCTCCTTCTCTCTCTGCCCCTCCCCCGTTCATGCTCTGTCTCTCTCTGTCTCAAAAATAAATAAACATTAAAAAAATGTTTAAAAAAAATAATAAGAAAACAAAATTGACAGGAGTAATATTTGCTTAGCACTTGCTTTTAAAGTGTTCCATAAAATATCTCCTCTGACTACAAGAGCACTCCATTTCTCTGCAGCCTAAAAATAGATCACTTATTTTATTTCTAGATATTTTTATTAAGTGACTGGGGTAGGTGGCTTTATACTAAGTAACTTCCTGACATAAAGAAATCTATTTGCAGAAAATGTGGTCTATCCCAAAATTATACTTGCCGCCTAAGAGAAGTTTCTCTTTTATTCTCAACATTGTTTTCTCCTACAAATCAAACAGCAAAATTCACTCACAGAAGGAAATAGGTTGGTCTGTTTTTTAAACTATGCATTACATTTTCTTAAATTATGAATTGCATTTTGATAGGATCAATATTTTATAATTCATTAAGTACAATATAAACTAATGCCTTAACTATATGACACTGTATTTGATCATGATCTCTTTAATCACAAAAGGCTGAAACCTGGCATGACAAAATGTTCTTAGGAAACATTGAGAAGAGGTTAACTCAGCCTTTTTCCTTCTGGAAAGCACCTACCAAGGCTTCTGGTAGATGTTAAATAATACATTATTTTTTAAAGAACTGTGTTTATAAATGGCAGTATAAGTAAATTAAACAATTAGTAGCATTCTTAATCAGATCTTCTTTTGATCTGAACAGAAGAATTTATAACCTCTGTAAAAATTGCCAACAGTTCTGACTAACCCAAACCACAACTGGGAAAACCGTTAACAGTGAGGACAAACGGATGTCACAAGGGATTTTTTCTTCTCTTTTTCGTAGCATTACAATAGCTTTTTTAAAAACTGAAAAAAAATCCAAAACCAAGGCATAAAAATGTCACACACTTAATTGGTATTTACAATGATTTTTAAGAATCTAAAACTGCATCCAGTAACAAGACCAAAAAGAATTTGTTCATGGAGTAGCGTGCACTTAAAAACAGAAGGTCCAAAAGTAAACTATCACTCTCAAAACTCTGCTCAGTAATTTCAAATAATAAGCATATATGTTCCCAGATAGAAGCAATCAGAACCAACTCGCAAGAGACTAATGTGACAAGTACAACAGGTTGCGATCTTAAATATCCACATTTGTCAGGACTCTTATCATCCTTTTTCGATCTTCATGGTCTCCAAATTCCCCTGGCATATAGTCACATAATGTTAAGTATCCCCTGATGCACTAATTTCCAAAACTCAGATCCATCCTCCCTTCTCTATTCTCACGGCCACCATCTCAGTTTAATACTTCATTATTTCTCATCTGTACTGCTACAACGGCTCCCTAACTGGTCTTCCTATGTACATCCTTATCTTTCTTCAATCCATTCTTAATACTGCAGCTGGATGCAAACCCAAACCCAATCTAGTTGAATCTCTTCCCAGCTTAACTGCCTCAAGGGTTTGCCATTACCTAAACCCCCTTCGCTGCTTCATTTTTCCTCATTACATTTATCACCATCTGACATACCATATTACTTGTTTGTTTTGCTATCCCTGCTCCAACTAAAATATAAATCCATACGGGCAGAGTTTTTGTTCACTGCTATGTTGCACAGTAAGCACTGAAATATTCACACATGAGTGAATATGTGAATGAATTAACTGACTGATGACCTACAGGCCAAAGGCTTCCATGACCTGCCAGCGCCTTCCTCTGTTTACTTCACTCCCACCTCTACAATATGAATTGTTTAGTTACCTAAATACAATACGCACTTTCATGCCCCTTGCTTTGCCATATGCTATTCCTTTTGCTTGGAATTCTCTTCACCATCCAATCAACCTGCTATACTCTCAACCGTATTTTAAAACCATCTCCAGAAAGCTTCCCCTGACCCCATGGATAGTTGCTCTTTCTTTCCTTTGTGCTATATCTGTACCTGTATTTATAGTAGCTCTATTCAAAATGTACTAGAATGTGTATCTCCCTTACTATTGTGAATTCTTTGAGGCCAAGGATTATTATTCATCTCTCTACTTTCAGTGTCTAGGACAATACTTGTCATAAAGCAAGTATTATATAAACATTAAATAAATTAACATATGCATGAGTATCCTGTAAAGGAAATGAAAACATGAAGTTTCAAGAAGTCACTCATCCAATTCCATAATGGCAACCAGTCATAAGATAGAAGAATTACAACCAAGGACATCATCTAAGGTAATCAGAGAGAAGGAGTTACACAAATAACATACATCACCAAATGCTTCCAAAATAAGTGACATACAGTCACACTCACACTTTATTAGATTTACATGCTGGCTCTTTGCTCCATTTATCTTCCCTTTAGACTCAGCTTTGCTGCTGGCAAACTGAGGCCCACCTAAGCAGGAGGGAGTAGAAGGGAGACCTTGGTTCCCCATTAACAATACATTAAGTAGAGCTTTTGATGTTCCATTTAATGAAAGTTTTTATGTTCCCTCATATATTGAGTCAAACTTCAAAACAGTTATACAGGACTAGATTTTACCACTAGCCACACCTAAGTCTGAACCAAACCTATGCCAACAAGAGGTTACAGGTGTGTCTTCTAAGGAGTAGTCACAGACCAGTCACCTTTAGCCATGGGAACCCTCATTTGTTAGGCCAGTGTGCCTTATAAACACTACTATTTTTCTGTGACTGCTGCAGACCAAGGCCCCTAAATCCAACTATGAGGAACACCTGACCTACCTACTTAGTTCTAAGAATGTGAACATCATATCAATGTACAGAAACATACAAAGGAAGCCATTGTTACATACATGAAGCCATTTAGGAAGAAAAAAGTTTTAAACCCAATGACGGCTAATACAACATCAAGTGAAGCCTGATGCCAAGATGGGATCCTTGATTCCTCCCTTCCCCACTATTCAGTAACCAAGTTATAAAAAACTTACGTACTAAAAATTTTTTAACAGGCTTGCCTACTCCCAATATTATGCCTTAGTTCAGAATCACAGTAATTCTCATCAGAATAATAGTCTCCTAATTTGTCTCCTTGTCTTTGGACTCCATGAAAATTGCATCTACCATTTCATTTTGGTGAAGGGTTATATAACCGACAGTGCACTAAGCACTTGATCACTTAACTCTCTATTTTTTAATTCTCACAGCAATAGTGCAAAACAGGAATTACTGTCCTCATTTTCACAAAGGACTGATGCTCTAAGAAAGGTGAAGTGATTTGTCCAATGTCATGCAACTGGAATTATGTAGTGGAAATTCAAACTCAGGTCTTCCTTTCCAGATATGACATGCTAAACTGCTTAACCTTCTTCAATTCAGCCCCCAATGTGACCTTTCTAAAAGGTAAATGCATTCAAGTTTTCCCCACATAAAATCCTGCAAACAAGACTGGCCACCAGCCCTCTTCCTCTATCATTCCCACCCTGTCCCACCATACTGAACTCCCAACAGTTTTCTAATCTGTCTTTCACTGCTTTACCTGTGAACACACTATTTTTCTCCCAAGAACACTTTTCTCCTTTGGCAGGTTACTTCTAACCCAAACTTCAAGATTTACTCAATTCTTACTCTGGGAAGCCCCCTCCCCTTTACAAATACATACCTAAAACTGGGTTAACTGACCATTTGCTATGGTTATCAGCTAAATATCTTATCACAGGCTATTAGTTCCTTAAATACTGTATTTTGCATGTAGCAGAGGAAGGGCTCATGAATGTGGAATTAGTGAATGAATTCACCATAGTGAAGGTTAAGAACTTAGCCCTAAAGTTAATATGATGTGCTTTGGAATTCTAACCTGTACATCTGCAGCAGGCTTCTAAATCTGTTTTATTTCTTCATCTGTAGATAACTGCACCTACCTCAGACTTTGGAAAGGAGTAAAAGAAATAACTGACTTAACATGGTTTCTGGCACATTGACAGAACACATTAAACATTAGCAACACTTTTTTTCACTCTCGAAGTTCATCCACCTGACAAAGCCACATCTCAGAAAAGTTTTTCCTAGTAGCTTCCATCAGCACTTAAGATTTCTCCAAAAAACAGGAAGTCAAGATCTCCTAAAAACATCCTCATCCACAGGCAAGGGTCTTTCAGCTTCTGGTTACACCAGAGCTCAGTAGCTAGCACCACCGCCTAAATCAGTAACTAGTGTCAAGTTTTTTGTTTCTTACCCATCCCTTTCCCCCCTCAAAGTCAAAGACCATGCCCCTGAGCAAGCAGAATCATTAACTAGTGTCAAGTCTTTTGCTTCTTGCCCATCCCTTTCCTCCCTCAAACTCAAAGACCATGCCCCTGAGCAAGTGGAAACCTGCCCCTTGCAAACCGGTCAGCACCTTCTTCTAAAAACCATCACTTCTCCCCGCACCGCATCGAGACGCGTAAATTAGAAGAGATTCATCATCTAGTACAAACTCAAATCTTCTTGGAAGATCATAATAGAATCCTTTCTATCCAATGGAAGACCTTATCTCCCAAGTATTAATTCAAGATAATGAATTCCTAGCATTCAATAAGAATCCAAGAAAAATGGTCCCCTGAAAGCCTTCCCCAGTGAGAGTTCTTCATATTTGTTATTCTCAAATACTGACCAAAACCCACCATTCCATCCCTCCCCCTTCCTGCCAGGGTCCAGGGTCTCGTCCACTCCCTCCAGAGATGGGTCTTCACTTTCAGCTAACAGGGTGCCTTCCTCCCACCCGTGTCACTTCCCTTTCCACCTTGCCCATGTCCTCCCGCAGCACAGGCCTGGCCTGGTCCCCCGCCGCCAACCAGCGCCACAGAGCCGCTACTCACCGTTTCTTGGGGATGGTGCCCGACTCCTGCGCGGCGGGAGTGGCAGTGGGAGCCGCCGTGGCCGCCGACGCGGCTCTCCGCGCTTTGCACTCATTGGTACTCACAGCCTCCTGGGGCCGGCCCAGCAGATGACCGGAGAGAACCCGGAGCCTCCGCCCGGCACGGTCTCGATCCGGGTCCGGGTCTCGGTCCCGGTCCGCTGCAGAACAGCAGCCTGTGCCCACGCCCGTCCCGCCCGCTGCAGCCGCCGCCTCCGCCATGGCTTCCGCCTTGTGCCGCCGCCCGGGACCGCTGGGCGCGGGTGAAAGGTCAGTTAGAGCGGCGGCCCGGCGCGACCATTCGCTGCGGCGCATCCCGGCAGCCACCGCGGCGACTGGGCGGCGGGTGCCATGCGCCGGGAGCTTCACATTCTCTGCTCCCGCCCACCACATCCGCCCGCCCTCCGCGGTCACGCCTCCGACGGCGAGCACCTGCCAAGCAGGTGAGTTTGAGCTGCACCCGGATTGGCTCAGACTTAGCTGGACCAGAATCCCAACCACAAGTGTCCGCGAGGTGTCCAAATACCCTGGGTGGTGTCGTTGGGTGTCCCCTTGGCCTCTGGAGTAGGTTTCTGGGGCAGACGCCTAGGACCAGGGTGCTGCTGGACCTGACAACTTAAGCAGGGCCATCCTTTTCCTGAAGGAGCTCCTGCTGCTCCCCTATGTTCCCCTCCCAGCAGCGTCACTAAAGTAACTTGAAACTGACTCGTTGTCTGTAACCATTTGAGAAAATAGCTATCATTTTCTCATCGCCTACTTCGCGCCTGGAGATTCTCATGTAATTTCCATTTTACAGTTGAAAAAACTGAGGCTCAGAGACATGAACTTGCCTGAGGGCGTAAAGCTGAGTTGCAACGGAGATTCTCTTTCATTACTGAATGCTACTCCCTTATTTACCTTATTGGAGGCAAAGTTTTTTATTGCTACAGATAGAATTACCTAACAGTTGTTCTTAGAACTTCTCGCTTGTCTACAAATTAACTTTATGGAGAATGGCACTTGGTGAAAATAGGAGGATCTCAAAAGGCAGTGCTCCACAACCATCTTCAGCCAGTGGATTAGGTAGACTTTTTATAAGGCACCTTAAAGACCTAACCATAGAAATAAAATACCTTATTGCATAATGTGCAATTCAAAAATGAGTCTTGGGAACGGTAAGAAAAAGGGTTGTCATAAGCTTTCCAAGCCCAATAAAGTCACCTTTCCAAATAATCACCTTTATAACACAGACTCTATGAAAGACATTCCAGGAGTTAATTGGACTAATACAAAAGAACTATTTAATAGTTCTGAAAAATTCAGGCAACAATGAGAAGGACTTGATTTGAATGGCAGCTTTCCAGATCTTAAGAGATAGTTCAGCATTAAATATCCAGTCTAGCTCTAGAATCACTGAGCCCCACTCTTGTGTAGCTGCTACTTTTCTCCACTGGCTATTTCAGATTGGATTAGGAGCTAAGAAAACAGAAAGGAGTAAATTGCTGAGTGCCTGAAAGAGAAAGCCTCCTGAAGTCTGAGAGTTTAGCCACTTTAATCCTCAAGCTTCTTACACCTTTTTTAGATGTTACTAGAACAGCATTGAAATACCAACTAGCACATTTGCTTGCAATCGCAAAATTCATATTTTTCTTGCCAAAATGCTATTATAAGCAACAACTTTCTCAGACTTGTTTTAGAATGAGACTGGTCTATTAATTTTTGCTTGACTCCCAGAGAGCTTAGCCTAACACTAGTGAATAGTTAACTGACTTCTTCAGTGTTGTCCAAGTTAAAATATGAATATGCTTCTCACCAACTCTCAGGAGGCAAAATTTATAAATTTTGCACATATCAACAGAATAACAAAAAACCTTTTCTCCTGGGTGATGAAAAGGTTGATGTAAATCAAAATTATATACCAGTGGAAAAACTGATTTTTTTTTCAAATATGTATACAGTAATGAAATACAGGCAGTAACAGCGTTTTAAGAGCCTATTATGTACCTAATTCATTACTATGTGCTATGAGATGGAAAGTATGTAAGTCAATGCCTCATCTACATGGCATAACCAGGCTGATTAGGAGTTGGGATATATGTGTGTGGGGGGGGGCACTATATTATACTGTTGGATGAAATAAGTGTGATGTGGGTGACCTTGGTGAAGTATTTCCTACCCCCACCCCCACCCCCTCTCCTTACAAGAGCAAAGGCCAAGCAGAGTGTCTTGAAATTTATTTTAAGGAAGGAATGCTTCACATGAAGTGTGGTCCATTGAGATGTTTGTGATTCCCACATAAAGCAAAACTTCAGTGAGTATAACATTCAGGAGGGCCATCACAACACACCTGTTCCTTCTGAGTCCTGACTTAGTCCTTAATAACATGGATCCCAATGGAGAGCAGACCACATGAGCATGGTGAACCCAAGAACATGAGGAATTTTAAATGGAATGACTTATATTTGCATTTATGACTTCTCTTCCAATATGAGGAAGAAAAAAAGTCTAAATAGGACAGATTAGTATCTGACACATGCACCGTATTTCTTTACTGCACTGATTCCCATTACTTCCCTACAGAGCTGCTAAGTTATCCCCAAATTAAGGAATTCTTGCATTTTTATACATTTTTATTACAAAATATAACAGACAAGTGAACCAAAGCATAAATTATCACAGATTGATCACCCATGTAACTTCCATCTAGTTCAAGAAACAGAACTTTTCCAGTATCCTGGAAATCCCTGCTATGCCCTCTCAATCTCTTTACCCTCCCTACCTGCCAGAGGTAAGCACCATCCTGAATTTTATAATATACATTTCCTTGTTTTTCTTATGGTTCTAACAATTAAGCATACATCCCTTACTTGTTTTTTGAATTTGTATAATCTTACAGTATGTTCTCTTGTGTCTGGTTTCTTTCACTCAACATTCTGTTTGTAATATTCATCCACATTGTGTGTAGTTGTAGTGCATTCGTTTTCTTTGCCACATAGTATTCCTTTAAATATATATACCAGAGTTTATAATTAATGACATTCAAGATGTTTCCAGTTTGGGACTATTGTGAATAAGGTTGCTATGAAACTTTTGCATATGTCTCTAGGTGGACATGTAGATGAATTTCTGTTAAGTATCCATTTAAGAGTAGTATTACTAGGTCACCAAGTATACATTTGTTTAATAGATAATGAAATGACAACTGTATTCCAAAGAGATGTACAAAATCTACCACAGCAGCATATGAGAATTACCATTTTCTACTATATACTCTTGTCAGTATAGTTTTAGGTATTATATAGTATTATCTTAATTGTGGTTCTGATTTACATCTTCCTGATTACTAATGAGATCAAGGGTGTTTTCTATATGTTTGTTGACCATTTGGATATCATCGTTTGTGAATGTGTAATGAAGATACATCTCCTAAGTTGCCTTTTAGAAGTCTTATTATTTTTCCTTTCACATTTACGCCTATAGTTTACCTGGAATTGATTTTTATTTATGAGGTAGAGATCAGGTTTCATACTCCATGTGAGTAGCCAACTGGCTTAGCACCACTTGTTGAAAAGTGTTCTACATTAACCATCTTTGTCATAAGTCAGATGTCCATATAACATTAGTCTATTTCTGGGCTCTGTATTTTATTCCATTGATGTATTTATCTTATGCTAGTATCACACTGTCTTAACTATCATATATTCTTTTAGATCTTCTGCATAAGATTATATCATTTGTTAATGACAATAGTTGATTTATTTCCAATCCTCATACCTTTTATTTCTTTGTCTTGCCTTACACCAGCTGATTAGGACCTCAAGTACAATGTTGAATAGAAGTTGTGAAAGTAGCATCCTTATCTTGTTCCTCATTTCAAAGGAAAATCTCTTAACATTTCACTATTGTTCAAAGCGGGTTGCTGGTTTTTCTTTTTTTTCTTTTTAACCTTTTAGCAGATTAAGGAATTCCTTTTCAAATCCTACTTTGTTGCGAGTTTTTATCATGGATGGATATTGAGTTTTGTCAGACGTTTTTTCTGCATCTGTTGAGATGATCAAATGATTTTTCTCTTTTATTCTGTTAGTATAGTAAATTACATGGATAGGTTTCCACTGTCAACCAACCTTGCAGTGCTAGCATAAGTCCAATCTAGTCATGAAGTATAGCGCTTTTTATATATTTCTGAATACTGAATACAATTTTGTTGAAATTTTGTATATAGTAAGGTTGGTCTATTATTCTTCTAATAGGAACAGGTTAGCTTTTGCTGGCCTCGTGAAACCAGTCTCCTTTGTTTTATAAGTCTCAGGAAGAGTTTGTGTAAAATTGGTCATTATTTTTCTTAAATGTTCATTAGAATTCACCAAAGAAATGGTCTGAATCTAGAGTTTTCTTTATGGGAAGGTTTTTATTTATAGATTAAATAGTTTAATGTTATTCATATTTTCTGGTTCTACTTGTTTCAGTTTTTGACAGTGTTTTTGTAGGAAATTATCTGCTTCATTTAATTTTTCAAAGGTATTGACATAAAGTTTTTATAGAATGTCCTATTACCATTTTAATGGCTGTAAGATCTTTAGTAATGTCCCACTTTTCATTCCCAACATTAGTTATTCTACTCTTTTTTTTTATCAGTTTGCCAGACAGTTATCAGTTTTATTACCTTTCTAAAGGACCAACTTTACACGGTGGCAGCATTGTAGCCAATGAAGTTTATCCACGGTGTGATTATTGCTAATTGAAAATTTTTCCCAATACTTTTTTAAGGGGCCAACTTTTGACTTTGTTGATCCTATCATATGTATGCTTTCTCTTTCATTAATTTCTGCAAATATTCCTTCTTGTTTCCTATCCTCCACCTTTTATTTTTTAAATTTCTTGAAATGAATGCCCAACTCCTTGATTTTTCACCTTTTTTGTATGTTTTCTGATATATATGTGTTTAGGGCTATGAATTTTTCTCTAAGTAATTAATTTCATTCATGTTTTGATAACAGTATTTTCATTATTATTTTGTTTTAAGTAGTTTTTATTTGTCTTTGAAAAGAATGATTTGTATTTGCTCTTGTTTTGGGGTACTTGTTTCCCAAATACAAATTTGACCTAATCATTTGTTCAAATCTTTGATATCCTAACTGGTATTTTGTCTACTTATTTTTATCAGTTATTGAAGTATGTTAAAATCTTCCACCATTATTATGGATTTATCTAATTATCCTTGTACTGCTGCTAATCTTTGCTTTCTGTACTTTAAAACTATATATTAGACATGTCAAAATTATATTTTCCTGATGAACCTTTTATAATTATCAGATATCCCTTTTTGTTTCTAATA